ATTTGAGGTAGGCCACATCCAAGTAATTTACCCTTTTTTCCATAAATATGGACGTGCCAACCAAGAATAGGAAGTAGCACCTCAGGGCACACTCCCTATGTTAGGTAACCTAGAGATCAACAACGTCCGGGTGATCGACTATCTCCAAATTTTTTGTCATACAAGTCCGCCAACCAAGAAAAATTGGCATGTGCACCCCTGGTGCTTCTACACTGCTCAAAGGACTTTGCAGGGTCAGCTCCCAAATAAATCTTCATCATCTATTGTGCCTCGACCCTGCTGATCTTAGAATGATCAAGCAACCTTCCTCTGATGGGAAGGTGTAGGAGGCATGCTACATTATCTAGCGTAATAGTCATCTCATCAATATGGAGGTGGAAAGATGAGGTCTCATTGTGCCACCTCTCACCAAATGCATCATGCATTTCATGGATGATGTTGGTGTACCCTGTAGCATAAAGACCAGCAAGCCCAAATTTCTGGAATACATTTTGGAAATAGGCTTCCTAGGGCTGGTAAAGACTGTGAATCTTTCTTGCATGATTCATACTTTTGAGACAGTCATGCTGCTGTTGAAAATAAAATATAACATGATCAGTTGAGTTGAATTTGGACACAAAATATAAAATAGAGGCAGTTCATAAATTTACCTCTCCTTCCCAGACATGCGGAGCCATATGCTCTCCAAAGTATATGAGTAAAGATGTGTATGTGGGTCCTCCTGGAAACAGATCTGTAAGGGGACGTCCTCAGAAACTGGGGAAATTGGGGCATCCTCATCATGGTGTGCACCACTTTTGGATCCCGATCATTGTGATAGTCAACTACTCCTAGAGTCTAACGCCTTCCTATCATGAGGCTGAGGGGGAGACTCTAGCCTGCACGTGCTGACAAGCCCTCTCGCGGCGAGCAGAGGCCATTATGGTGGGTCACCCAAGTCACAATCTTTCTTGGTTTTCAGTCATCCTGAAAAAAAACATAAAAAATAAGAGGAAGGAACGAGTTCGGATATGCTTATCTAAAAAGCTTCAACATAACAGTTTGGAAATGCATATCCGAAAAAATGCTTCGACTGCTTCAATGGCAGAACCGTTTCTACAACTGTCCTAGCTCATCCAAAACATACCAAACTTATCCAAATCATTTACACAGAGTCTCCAAACTTGTACACTAACCTATTTGAGCTATATAATACATTAAAACCAGTACATTTGAGCTAATACATTAATCAAAAAGAAAAATAAGCTAAATGAGAAACTTACTCTTAAATGTGTTGGTGAGAGTGTAGAGTGCTCTGATGTTGAATGAAGTAGGTAGATGGAGTTGAGAATAGTAGGAAACACATGAATGTAGCTTCAAAACTTGATCTTGAGTATGTACTGGAAATGGATTGAGAGGTTGAGAGAAACTTTTGTTTTTCTGAAAAATGGATAATGAGAAGAAGGAAGGTCTGACGCGACCTTTAAATACAGTCACCTAGTTTGGAGATACAACTATGAACTAGCTTTTTGAATTAAAAAAGGTATATTCGGAGATACATCTCTCAATATACCCTTAAATTGACTTCGATTGTGCATCTCCGAATTTTATTTTAAAAAAAAATGAAATTTTGTGCGTCCAGAGAGCATTTCCGAAAATAAGGGGTATTTTAAGAATTTCGTGAAGGGCTTGGGAGAATGTATAAGGGTGGGATGAGTAATTGCCTAATTATTTTGGACTCTGTCGAAAACTGAATCCGATCAAACTCAACTAATATTTATTTTTATTACTATATGGCTTACCCATTATGAAAATGGGATTAATAATATTGTCAAGTTATTATTATTTTTATAATCTAATGATGGAATTGTATACTCATAAGAATACAAAGACATGCAATATGAAATTTTGAGTGTTATTTAATTTATGGTTTAAGATATGCTAATGATCAAATTAATATCAAATGATATTGAAAATATTATCATCTAATAATTTTTTTTAATAACAAAAAAATATTTCTTCTTTGGACCATTTTGTTATAAGCAAATTGTATTAAGAGGAGCATAAGGGATACCCAACCCAAATACAAGAAGGAAATCACAAAGAGATTAAATTCTACTCAATAAACAACGAGTCTGAGTAGCCCACCAATCCTCTCTAATAACTGAGCAACTAATTTTTACATTGAAGCCTTCACTATCTTTCCACCATTTGAAAACATCTTTCATGCCTCTTACTGGTCGAATATGTAGTAAAATCTGGTTTAGGTCGTCCAACTGAGTTGTTTGATTGAAATTCAAGCTTTTCTTTTAAAGACTCAATATTCATGACCCAATCATTACCATTCCACTTCCCCAAATCAGACACAAGATAATCATATTGAGAGATTAAGTCAAATAAAGCAAGGAATTGAAACACATAATGGACAGGGCCTAACCACTTTGATTTCCAAAAGCTAATAATATTATTGCCTTCCCCAATTTTCCAACTTGTTGAATTTGTAAACCAATTAATTTTAAACTTAGAACACGGTGTTGCTGCCACCAAATCACGCCATCAAAAAGAGTCCTTTTTACCTGAGGTGCCCTTATATATATAAATAATTTTGGTATTATGTTACCGTATCTAAACTTCAGAAGATTGACCACACTATATTGTGATTCATACATATATTGACTAACGAGATTGAGAAACATTTGTGTAAAAAAATAGGATTTGTAATCTCTTGGAACAATTCTTGAGTTATAGTGGATGAAAGAAATGTTTTCTCTCATAGTAGATCAGTTTGATTAAATTAAATAAATAAATGTTGTCTGCATTAGTCTTTTACTTTCTTCTCCTTGTTGCGATTTTTCTTACATTGTTTGATGGATTAGTTCTTGTTTGAGACTGTTTATTTTTGTTATCGTGTTTCTTTGTTCCATAAATTATTTTCTTGGTGTGTTTGACCTTTAGAATTTCAATTTTAAAACCTCAAGAGAAATCTTATGCATTTAATATATGTATTTTGTAAAGATTTAACACCTTTTTTGGTATTGTATGTTAACAACGGTCTTAATTTTAAAAAGTCTATATTTTTTTAAAAGATGTATCGTGATTATTTGAAAAATGTATCATGATCATATACAATAAAAACGTATTGCAATTGCAGTGCTTTTAAAGATGTTTTAAAGATCAATTGATTGTACTAAGATGACAATTAGTTGATTCACACCCAACACTAAAAAAATATGAAAAATGAACTAAATCAATCAATTGTGTAGGGGAAATTCATATTCGATAGAGTGGTCAAAAAATAGACCTCTCAATCGATTGTCATAAGACATCAATCAGTTGTTTCTCTTAAATTTTCAATTCTTGTTTCCCAGGGAGCACAAGCAATCGATTGTAACATAGGATCAATTGATTGCTTCATCAAAAACCTTGAATTTTTAGTAAGTTAAAGATGCAATTTGAAAGTGTGTTTAAGAATGATTTAGATGAAAATATTTGAGCACCTAAATCTTATATATATATATATACGAATTGCCATTGTACCTTAATATTCATGATTCAATCCTTTGATTTCCAAAACTTATGCAATCTTAATATTTAATTTCTATATTTTTCTTCTCTGATCTTTCTTTATTAATAAGTTTTTGTTTTCGTCAAAATTAAGCTAAGATAGATGATAAACATCTTCTTCACAATTTTTGTCTAATTAACGACGAATTTAACAATTAATTTATTAGTTTTTCTAATGCTAATTTGATTTAAAAAATTAACATAATACATTTTAAAAAATTAAAGAACTAATATAATTTATTTTTTTTAAGTTAAGAGGTAAAGATATTAAACTTTAGTAAAAGACTATTTAGAATTCTCTATTTTAGATTTTTGTTATAGCTCCCAAAGTATGTTTGGTTTAAAAAGCAGCACTTCATGATTAAAGTGGCATGAAGACTTCACATCAGTGAACATTCATTGAGTCTTTTAGTAATATAAAATCACATTGCATATCTACATGTAATGAACACACCAAAGTAATCATAGTAAACATACACACCTGCTGCTGCTGGTGACAACCATTAGAGAAGCTTACTCTCATTTCTATCCATCAACCAACAGGTTCTGAACTTTGGTTCCTTCTTATATCTTGCTTTTCAATTCTTATTGTATGTTTTGTAATTTGCAAGTTTTCCTAGCAATTTTTTGTTTAAATCACTGTTTTGTATTTGTAAGTTCTAGAGAAGCATGTGATAACTAGTTTTAGTTGGTTTGGGAAACTCATCATTGTTTAAGATCCTCAATATAAAAGTCTATTGTGATTTTATTTACTACTTTAACGACAGATTTTGTATTTTTATATGCAATTGCTTTTGCTCTAAAAGAAAGCTATCCAAAAGCCTCTTACATATGTTGATTTTATCTACAATTTTATTTCTAGATTTTACATGTAATTCCTTTTTCGCATAAACAAAAGTGTTGGAAGCTTTATGTTTGAGCAGATTTTTGCTGTGATTTCTTTTACAAATAAAAATGAAAAATCTGCAAATAAAACTACAGCTACGCCAGAAAGTTTCACTTTTTCTAAAATTGAAAAAATTAAATTTTAATCATCAGGTATAAATAGATTCAGTCGAATTAAGCTTTAAAAAAGATAATCTAATACACGAAATTCCCATTTTATGAGCTTTAAAACATCAGATGTACAGTGTTACCTTTATTTTATTAAGAGAGAGGGTGATATGTAAATATCATAACCTTATTTTTAACTTATGTTAGACTATTTATTTAGAAAAAATTATGAAGACAACTTATGAAATTATTAATATCATATTTTCAGCCTATTTTTATAAGATCTTTAAAGTAAATAAAATTTATTTTTATATTTTAACTCAAAGTATAATAATAATAATAAATAAATAATAATAATAATAATAATAAATAATAATAAGTGAAACTATGATTCAGAATTGACAGGTTAAAAGAGCATGGCATATGTTTCTAGTTGTGCTGCTTTATCAGAAGCTGAATATGAAATGGTGAAACACATCATCGACATTAAAGACCTAGAAGAGTTAAGTTTAGCTGATTGTAGCATCTACAATGTTCCTCACAATCTTAGAAAAGTTAAGAAAGAGGCTTACACTCCTCAACTAATCTCCATCGGTCCCATTCACCTTGGAAAACAAGAACTTCAACCAATGCAACAACACAAGAAAAGATACTTCCATTTCTTCTGGGAACGTCTATCTATACCCAACCAACTATCCATCAAGAACTACAAACTCTTTCTTGAAAACCAAGAACAACGAATTCGAAAGTGTTACGCCGACAAATTTCCTAACATCAACAAAGACAAGTTTGTGGAAACCATTTTGCTGGATGCTGTCTTCATCATGGAACTTTTGTTGAGAAACAGTTCATGGAAATCAGATACTTCAAAACATGAACATGATTACGTGCAATCCAAGTCATTTAGATGGAAACACACTGATGATTATATTCTAACACAGGCTTGGTTAAGTAAAACCATTACAAGGGACTTGATTTTGTTGGAAAATCAGATACCTTTTTTTGTCTTGATGAATCTTTATGATACTGTTGTTCCACAAGATGATAAAAAACCTGAACATGACAACTTTCTTGATCTTGCACTTGAGTACTTTGCATTCTATGATACTCAGAAATCTTCTTCACTTGAAACTAAGCTTGTTTTGGATAAGAATCAAAGCAAGAAATATTATTATGTAAGTGGTTTACTTGGTGATGTTGGTACTAAGAAAAAACATTCTGATAAATCTATCAGAAATAATAATAATAATAATAATAACCCTAGAGAAAAGTTTGAGTTTCATGGACCTAAGCATTTCACTGATTTGATAAGGTTTTTCTACCTTCCTGCTGATTTAGGAAAAAGTGGTTGCTCTCATGCTTTTCCAAGAACAGTCACAAAGTTAACAGAATCTGGTGTGAGTTTTGAGAAAGTTGTTGGGAGAAGATTACTTGACATAACATTTGAAAAGAAACCATTTCTGAGTAATTTTCTTTGCTTAGGTTGTTTACCTTCTTTTTCATGTTTGAATCATTTCAAAGCGCGTCTTCGGATTCCACAATTGAAGGTTGATCATACAACAGAATGTGTTTTAAGGAATCTCATTGCTTTGGAACAATGTCAGTATCAAGAACAACCTTATATATGCAACTATGTTTCACTTGTTGATTCTCTGATACATACACAAGTTGATGTTGATTTTTTGGTTGAGAAAGAAGTGATTGTGCATGAAATGGGAAGTGATAAGGAAGTGGCTGTGCTTGTTAATGGTCTTTGTAAACATGTTGTGGTGAATTCGAATTGTTATCATGAGATTATAAATGAGCTTAATAAGCATTATCAGAATATTTGGAACCGTACAATGGCTGCATTGTGGTTGGTTTACTTTAGAGATGCTTGGAGAGCTAGTTCTACTTTGGTTGGGATTGCTTTTCTTGTTTATACTGCATTCAACTTTGTTCGTCTTGCCAAAGTTCTCTTCTATTAGAAACTTGGAAAATGTGTAGCTTGCTTAATAATGCATGTGTGTCCAAAGTAATGAATAAAATACTAGTGTGTCGTCATGTAATGTAATCTCATCAAATAAGTATTGGATTGTGAATTGTGTAATCATATCATGTTATTTATTTTTATTATGTTACTCATCTTGTTATTAGTTTCTAGCTTCTTAGTTGTTTATAGTTAATTGTTCACGTGAGTTTAATCATGCATATGTCAATCTTAAGCCTGAATAAAAGGAAATGTTTGTCTTAGGTAATTGACTACTACCTTCAAATTTTGTTAAATTTCTATGACATAGACCAAATACGTCATAATATGAATGCTAATTAGCTTGTTGTACGTAAGGAATGTATTGAGTAGTTCGAAGACAATGTCAAATAAGTAATGGAGAATCATAATGTAGATGCAATGAAATATTTTCTCACATTTGCGTGAGCCGATATTGGTAAAGAAATTAATTTATGGGAGAAAGATTTATTTTGAAATATAAAATATAGATACTCTTACAAGAAAACCTAAGGAAATCGTGAACATTGTGGTTAAGAGAAGTGTTAATTTTTTGTGTCAATGAAAAACTAAGTGGGTGGGTTAATATGTAGAAAAACTATACAATTTGATATTTAAGCTTTGATATACTAACAAATTTAGAACAAAAAAGGAGTTTGAAATTATTCTCTATAAGGAGTGGAAGGTGGATATTGTGGATAACACAAGGTTAAGAGATTGAATTATATCTTTGAATTATTGAAATATGGCACCTTTAATATTATTAGTAATCACAGGAAATACAAATGATACGAGGGATAAGATAACACAAGATTAGAAAAATAAAAAAGATGTTGGAAAAATTAAGAGATTTTAGATGTAGGAATAAAGAATATTGTTCAGGGTTAGCTGATTTTCTAAATTCATATTAAGAGGGTCAAGATACATTTAAATCATAAAATTATTATATTAAAATAAAGTAAAGAAACTTGCATAACTTTACGTTTAAGTTTTTGATAAACACACGAAATAAATTCATACATACAAAAGCAACAAAACAAGTATGTATCATGAAATATTTTTTTGAGAATATTTAAAAATATACTCTTAAATGTATTTTATAAATTTGAGATCTTGAATAATTTCGGATATATATATATATATATATATATATATATATATATATATATATATATATATATATATATATATATATATATATATATATATATATATATATATATATATATATATATATATATTAATTTAGTGATTTCAAATATATATATTTGAAATTTAGTGATATTTTAAAATTTTCACCAAAAAAAAAACTATTGAAGAAAGAAATTTTCAAATTTATTTTGCTTTAGAAAAAGGTGTAGCAAAAAGTAGCAAGTCGCAAACTTTTAGTTGGAAAAAGACGACATGGTTACTAATTGGGAAATAGTTTCTTTCCAAAAGAAAAGATGATTTGACATGAAATAATTGTGTGACTTTTATGTTTTTTATATTTATTTATTATGTTTCACAATGGGTTGATTATTTTTAATAAAATACTACACTAATTTTAAGTATATGAAAAATTGAAGGAAAGATATTTGAGGTATATGTTTCAATTTTAGAATCAAGCACATAATTTTTCTTGACCAAACTTTATTAATATTTAAAACAAAAAACATTAAGAAGAAATTTTTTTATTTTTTAAAATAATATTAATTATGATTATTATTTTTCATTTATATTATTAATTACTAATTACATTATTTTCATTATAATTGTACTGCAAGGGAATTAAAAATTCGAGATGAATAAATGTGATTAGACTTTCAATGTGGTGCTTTTAGCTTTTCGGCAAGAAGTGCAACAATGTGCTTGCAAGATTAACACTCCAACATCTAAGTCGGTGAGAAAATGAGAAATAGTGAGTAATAGATTTGAAATTACCTGTGATGTGCTAAGTCGATGACCGTTCGATTAATCTAGACATTATGTGATGAACTAAGGATTGGGATTGTCTATGTTTAGAAGAATGATGGCCTTTCTTTCTTGTGCTTAGTTCCCAATAACATTCACTCTTAGGTCTCTTTTTCTAGACCTCTTGGACGACCCATAACAATTGCCCCCAAGTCATTTCCTTTTCTTTGTCGGGGAACGATTTTGTTGTGCATGCCTTGAGATCAGCTGACGCTTAGATCAAGTGAAGGGTAGTGAAGAGAGAAATAAAAAGATGTAAAAAGAATATTGAGTGAAAAAGGGAACAATAGTTATTATTTTGGACCGAATGTATGTCCAATGGAGAAAATAAGCCCAAATATCCGTCCAAAGATGGATCCACAAGACGGTTGAGGGTTTAGTGCACCTGCAGTTTTTGGACTCTTACTCGATCCACGCCACAAATGGCTACCCATTATTTCGTACTGGGACCATAATTGTGATTAATTAGTGATGATGGACTCTTAATGCAGTGATGATGATCTCTGACACGACAGCACGGGAGTGAACCTACAAGGTTTGCACTCCAACGCTCAAGTTAGTTATAGAGTTTAATATAAGTGAAGCGAAATTATGAGATAAGAAAAATGACCTTGAGTCTCGTGTGTGACAATTATATATGATGGATAATTTTATTCGGGCTTTACATTGTTGAGATGGATTTTTGGACCTTACTCATATTGGGCCTTTCGCTGGTCCAAAACAGTTTACCCCAAGGCTTTGTGTGCTTTATTAGTCGAGAAGTCTTTCAAAGTTGCGGCCAACATCTAAATGCATTAAATACCATGAGGCAATTGCATAAGTAATGGGGGACAAGCGCATTAAATGCATTTCCCATCATTGAGACATTTAGCTGATTTTTTAGGCACGTGTTCTTATGCTTACATGTTGGTGGCGCACATCTCTAGAGAAGAGAGAGTGAATTGTAGAGGTTTGAAAAACGATAGTTTGAAATAAAATTATCTTCTAAAACAGGGTTTATTTTAACAAAAGTGTTTAAATATGCAGCATAATTAAAGCAGAAAATAATGGAGTTAAGGGTAGAGAGATAACACTAGAGATTTATAGAAGTTCAATCATAAAGAAATGACTTACTCCTTTCTCCAAGAACGGATCTTGAGAGCATCCAATAATACTTGAGTGCTTTTAGAAGGTTAAGTCCACGAACCCCCTTATACTATGAAAGTGAAGTTTAAGGGTGACTTCTAACTAAACAACGAAATGAAGAATGAAGTGGTTAGTCTTCACGCCAAACAAGAACAAAGCTTCGAGTGATTAGTCTCTAAACCAAACTTATATTTTGCACAAGCTGATCTCGAAACAAGTTGGATTTTTGAGTTGGATATCCTTCGAACCGAACCACAGTTTTAATATGGATTGATCATGAAGCGAATCAAGATTTTTATCGAGTTGATCTCGAACCTGCTAAGCTTTTATATATGATAAACTAAAAAACCGAGTGAGGTTTTACACCAATCTAATCTCGAAAGATTGAGCTTTTGTACTGGTCTGAGCTTAAGAACCGATGTGAATATTTTTTACTGGTTATTCTTCACGAACTCAAAAGGAGAGTTTTTCTCGAAGTGATGAAGCTCACGAACCAAACAAAGACTTATACTAATCTCCCAAAGAGCTTTTATACTAGTTTAGCTCCAAACTAAAACAAACACTTCTTATGGAAAAGTATTTTACTCAAGAGAAAAAAGAACTCTTAGTAAATTTACAACAATTATAGTCCTTTGGCATATCAGAACTCGATGGCACAACTGATTCAAAATTATTTTAGAAATGTCATTTATTATTACACACACTTTAAGGGAAGGAAATAGATGTACAGACTTTTTTGCTAACATAGGTTGCACATCTCAAACCTTCACTGTTGATGATAACTCAATTAACCTGTAAATTCAGCTCACCAACCAACATGAATTCTGATGTAAACATATATGACTTTCTCATCTGTTCAAACCATTATTATTACCAAAAACAGATCGCACTTTGGTCATCACCTATGCTACCATGCAATTTTCAAGCTATACTTCTTTGACCATAATAATTACTATAGGAAAAAACTAAAGCAGGAATAGACATTCAGAGTGTGTCTCAAGTCTTACTTAATCACTTCTATCTCTATAAAGCACACCCCTTAACTTTAAGGACCAAGCCAAGAAGTTGTTGGAGGAAACATACTTTCAGGTTCATTCACTTATTGCTGTTTAAGCCATTGTTTTCTTTACCATAAAATGTAGTGTCTTTCTTGCTTATATCCCCTTTCTCCTATTGAGTTATAGTTTTTCTTATATTGTATTATAGAAATAGCATAAACATAAGCACTTAAATGTTAAGCATTTCTACTATAAATATTTAATTAAGTTGTTTATTCAAACAGGTCTTAGTCTGTCAATTGATCTGCTTACTTAGCTGCTAAGAAAAAGGTGATCTCATGGGATCTTCGGATGAATGTCATATCCAACAAATCATTAACATTCCAGAAAAGGTAGAACCTTCCCTTTGGCCTCAATGTTGTATCTACAATGTTCCTACTATTCTTTTGAAAGTGAAAGAAGAAGCTTATACACCTCTACTCATATCAATTGGTCCTATCCACCATAACAACAAAAAACTCGAGGAAATGCAAGAATACAAACATATATATTTTCATTTCTTTCAGAATCGTCTAGAAAGAAAAAGTGACTTAGTGAACTACAAATCGTTCCTTGAACAAGAAGAACAAAATATTCGCCGATGTTACCAAAAGAAATTCAATGATATCAGCAATGAACAATTTGTTGATATGATACTGTTGGATGCTGTGTTCATCATGGAGCTTTTTCTAAGAGAGAATAAAATATGGGAACACAGAGATGATTATATAGTAACTCAACTTTGTGTAAGTAAAAGTATTCAACGCGATTTGTTGCTTCTGGAGAATCAGCTTCCAATTTATGTGTTGGAAAAACTATATGACACTGTTGTTCCAAGCAGTGTCAAAAAGAACAACTGGTTTTTCAAGCTTGCACATGAGTATTTTGCATCTTGTTACCCTCGTCACAAGGAATCTGATGAACGAAGAAAGTTTGAGGTGAAGAAATGGGAGAAATCACTTCATTTCATTGATTTGATTAGATGTTCTTATCTCCCTATGAAAATGAGTAATCAGTATATTGATTCTCAAAAAGAGTGTTTGATGTTGAGGGCTGCAACAAAGTTGAATGAAGCTGGTATAAGCTTTGAGAAAGTTCATAATAGAAGCATACTTGACATAAAGTTTGAAAAAAAACCATTTTTGAGTTGGTTTCTTTGCTTAGGTTGTTTACCATGTTGCAGGTTTTTCAAAGCTAGATTGCTATTACCACATTTAAAAGTAGATCACGCAACGGAATGTGTTCTTAGGAACTTAATCGCTTTCGAGCAATGTCACTATACTGATGAGCCTTACATTTGCAACTATGTTTCTTTGATTAACTCTCTTATTCGCTCCAAAGATGACGCAGAGTTGCTGATAGATAAAGAAGTTGTTGTTCATGAACTTGAAAGCAACGAAGAATTGACGACTCTTGTTAACGGTCTATGCAAACATGTTGTGACGAATTCATCGTGCTATTATCAACTTATGGAAGATCTTAATGAACACTACAATAGCGTTTGGAAAAGAGCTATGGGTACTATAAGTCAGGTTTACTTTCGTGATCCATGGAGAAGTAGTTCTACCATAGTTGTTATAATTGTTCTAATTTTCATCATCTTCAACTTCTGTCGCGCTGTTCATCTAATGTTTTAGTTACTTCAGAAATTTATATATGTAATGAATAACCTGTACTAGAGTTATTATTGTACATGTTTGACGATTTCATGTCATGAACTCTTGAAGTATGCTATATAGTGAATGATGAGCTTTTAAAAGTAAGCTAAGTAATTTACTCTAACCATTTCACTTTATCCCATGTATCCATTCCAATCATCTGATTCATTAAACAAAAAAGTTAAAACCACTTGCCACAATGAAGTCAAAATCAAGATTGTTGATATCCAATGTCAAATACACAGTCTAACATGGACACTAAAGCAGAATACTAATAGGAAAAACTTAAAAATGAAATTCAAGAAATGCAGTGAAACATAACATGGTCCTATTGATCAACAGAAAGCTCCCTTCGCTTGTATCGGACCATAACTTTTCCTTTCACTCCAACAACCATGGCATTCCAATCAATCTCAGGGAAAGGTGAGAGAAGCTCCAGTTCAAAGTTTCTAAGAAGATGAGTCCAAATTGCTTTAATCTGCAGATATGCAAAAGGCTCTCCAAGGCATCCATGTCTACCACCTCCAAAGGAAATGTACGAGAATGCCCCTGCCGCCTTGTCTTCTTCCCTCCCTACAGCATACCTATCAGGATCATACTTATCGGGTTCATTGAAAATATGAGGTAACCTGTTTGCAAATGCAGGGGATGTTGCAACTATATGACCCTTGGGAATGTCATACTCTTTCCCTTCTCTGGTAGTGACGCTAAAATCGCTGTGTGAGCTTCGAAGCAGCATAATCAATGGAGGGTGGAGTCTCAAGGCTTCTTTAATGCACCTATACAAGACGTCCATCTCGGCCAAAACATCGTGATCAACTCTATCGCCGTGTTTCGCCATCAAGTTCTTCTGCTCCTCCACCACACCAGAAAGGTACTGTTTGTTACACAGGAGATATGCTCCGGTCCAAGTTGAGGTGATTGAACTGGTGTGCTGCCCCGCAAACAGAGCAGCAATGAGGAGACCAGTGACTTCGGATTCTGTTGTAGGGCGGCCGTCTTTGTATTTTGAGTCAATGAAGCACTGCAGCATGTCGTCCTCTGATTTGTCAGAACCTTTTCGTGAAGTTATAATGTTTGCAAAAATTTCAGCGAGCTTCTTGCGTGCGTTGTCTCGGCGTCTGTGAGCTGGGATTGGTAGGTATGGGAAAAGAACACTGATTGGAAGCATTCCATTGTCGAGGTCATGGAACAATGCAGAGACATCGTCAAAGAGCTTGTCACGAACTTCACGTCCCAACAGACATCTACTGGCTGTCAAGATGATCAGATGCTCAAGTTCATACTTCAAATCAACTTCACCACTTGATCCCCACTTTGAGAAATAGTCCTGCAAATTTGGTTCATTTTTTAGAAACAACACAACTCAGCCAAAGAAAGTTACAACGATATATGAGAATGAAACAACCAAGTCAAGTCTAAATAGAATTCAAAAGCTTACTAAGCTTAACAATATATCAATTCAAGTTGCAGTGAAAAAAGCATTCAAGATTTATTATACATATAAACTTAACATCAACCATTGATGTATTCATAAAAATAAAAAAAAACAAACAAATCATCAAACAGATAATGTGCAGAAACAAAAAAAAAAACAAAACAAGAATTAGGCATAATTAGACAAAGGGTTATCAAGAAAAACATTACCTGAGCTTCAGAAACCATCTGATTAACATAACTCTTAAGCTTATTAACCCTAAGCGCTTCCGTAAAAAACCTAAACTGCTCCTGCCTAACAGAATAATCAACATCAAAAACAACCCCAGGGCCAAAAGTGGGCACATTAAACTGATAAACCTCTTGCTGACTAAGATCAGTCTCGGGAGCTTTGAAGAAATGCGCAGATACCTCAGGACCAATCAAAAAGGTGATGTTTTTGTGGAAGATTCTCAAGGTGAAAACGGCTCCGAGTTTAGGGTATTGTTCACGGAGCATAAAGATTGGACCTTTGAGGAAACGGAAGAGGCCGCCGATGATGGGCCATCCTGGAAGAATTGGGGGGAGGCGTTTGCGGGATTTGGGGATGATGAATGATGAAATGAGTTTTGCGACGATTATGGTTGTGATGAGGAGGAGAATTGTGTTGAGGGATTTGTTTCCGTCGAAAACATCCATGATTGTGAGTGTAAGTAGATCTAGAATATTCAGTGCATTGTTATAGAGATGAGTGATTGTGTTTTGGGTATTAGTAACAAGAGAAGGGAATCTTTGTATCAAGATTATTTGTAGATTTGTTTATGAGGGTGGCTGGATTTGATTTCGATTAGCTGGGCTCATGGGATTAAGGCTAGGATAAAACTGTGGGTTTCTTTCTTTCTTTTTTATATTTCTCGAACTCATTTTCAAATTTTGTTTTTTCTTGGTTTCATCGATTCGGAATGTTTTTAATTAATTAATAAAATGGTAAAAAGAAATTAGAAAATCAATTTGTTTTGGACATACTATTGGCCCAAAATGGGGAAGCTCAATTATTGGTCTTGACCATTTCACTAAAGTATCGAAGTTACAGGGCAATTCTGATCTATGACTCCCGCTGGATCCACACACTAAGGGGTTGTTGTTCATTGAAAGATGTTATCACACGGTCTCTCATATTTCATGCTAAAATAGTATGGAACGTCAATAAATGTCATTCATATATAAGGCATCTCATGTGAGGTTTGAGGTATTTTCTCTCTAACCCATAACTCAATATACTCTTCATTCTCTTACTAATGTACGCGTTGGAGTGTTAATCTTATATGTTCACTCTTTCGTCATTGTATCAGAGATCCACTCCACCGCATCAAGACTATATTCCACCATTTCCTTAAACATTTCTAGTTCCCTAGCGAAACAATGACGTTGCATGTGAGAATCAACTTTTGATTCCTACAATTTTCTATAGTTAGATTCCTCATGATCCAAAGTCAGGAATTACAATAACAATAACGCTTAGAAGACAAGTTTATTTGAAATTCAAACCAATCTTACTAACTTGTATATGTTCCACATAAATTTGAACAATATGAATTTAAACTATGCTGCAGATGCTAAATATTTGATCCCATGAGAATTTACTATCAAATAGGAATTTGGATATGTATAAAAAACCTTAAAGCTTTCAAATTTTCATTCTTTTCTTGGTACTAGGCATGATGAAGCGCTGTCATCAACTTTTGTAGAGGGTCCTTGGATCTTTTTGATGCTCAGCTTGGTTACGATTGCCAAGCGAGACTGATTCAGCTACAAAAGGGGTATGGAATTTGAAGGAGAACTTTGTTGGTATCGCTGGTTAAAGTGGCTTATCTACCGAGCATCTGACAATCAATATATCCTCAGGTTGCGACAAAAAAGATAGAAGACAAGGTTATTTGAAATTCAAACCAATCTTGCTAAGTTGTGTACGCTCTACTTAAATTTGAACTATATGAATTTAAATTATGTTGTAGATGCTAAATATTTGATCCCAGGAGAATTCACTGTCAAACAGGAATCTGATTATGTATGAAAATCTTAAAGTTTTCAAATTTTCATTCTTTTCTCTGAAATAGGCATGATGAAACTGTGTCCTCAACTTCTATAGAGGGTCCTTGGATTATTGAAGATGAAACTATATTCATTTAGATTTGTGCATAATCAACTCTTGTAATTTGTAGGTAGATAAACACCGAATGATGTTATTATAACTTTTATCTTACAAAATTAAAAGAAAAATAATTGTTGCTTATATATTGGGAACTTTGTAGACAATTTCTTATATTTCTTCAGGTCGATTCCATCCTTTCTTGATGGGGCCACGACAATAAATAATGCATTTCATGACGGAGCTTTCACGTCATCCAGAAAAACAACGAGGTATTAAGCCTAGGCGCGCCATGTTTTATATTTTTTTAATTATAAAAATAACAATTTACCTCGGTTTCTAATATACATGACGGGTAAAACTAATATGGACGCGCTTCGAGTCCAAACTTTTACAATTTATGTTTTATTTTGATTATAATTGTAAACTAAAACAACTAACCCTTCGGTTTTTCGATATAACCGAGGGATCAACTAAATAAATTTCACTATAAAAGCAAACATATTTTACCTTAATCCTTACTTATTTGTAGCTGCCCCAAACTCGCAAGCATTATTCTTTGGGATGGATTGTAAGACATAAAAAACCTTCAATGTTCTTATAGAACAAAACATTCTTTGTGCCCTTGCAATCTATCTCGCATAATGGTGTTGATGTTGTTGTTGGTGTTGTTGGTGTTGTTGTTGTTGTTGTTGTATTTTTTCTCATTAAATAGATTACAAGTGCAGAAAAAATATTTTTGATTCAAGGGGACACTGAAGGAAGCTCCCTTCTCTTTTTAAAAGTTATACAAAGAAGAGAGCTTAATTAATCGAATGATGGATATCAGCAAAGATATTCATTTAAAAAAGCAAAAATTGTTTTAAACCATTTATTTTAATATTTTGTATAAACAAAGTAAATTAAAAAAAAACCTTTTCACCTCGGTTTTAAAAAGACGAGGTGATAGCTATAATCAGAAGATTTAATACTGAGGGATAAATTTATTAGATTTTACTATAAATACCTTTGTTAAACAGATTTTACCCTAATTCTAGCTATAATCACTGTGTATTACCATGAAAACTTTTGATCTAGAATCGCTTAAGAACACATCTCTGAGATAGATTGCAAATGCAAAAAATAAAATAACTTATCCGAAGTTGGATAAATTATGGAGTACTTTTTGGATATGCAACATAAAGGTATGAAACAAAATTTAAATTTCACCAAAGATCTGTTGTTGAAAACACTTTCTCCTTTGAATTTGTCTACTTGCCGATAGATTTCAGGTACGCTACCAAATCCATTCTCTAGAACATTCACTATTCATACCCTTCTCTAAAAATAATGATTGATGATTGTGTGTTGTTTACTATTAATTTGCAGAGCTGGGCTGAATAAAGGACATGCTTTCGTTAATTTGCAGAAGTGGAAATTTGTTGTAATATTCTTTGTAAACAATATAAATTAGAAAAAAGTATCTTGCACATCGGTGCTCCTAAAAACCGAGGGGACATTTTAGCGTTAAAGTTGAGGATATTTGTCATCATCCTTAATCAAATCTTTGTCATTCATTTCATGACTATCAACGCTCAAGACACTACCACTAGTGATCCGCGTGAAACCTAGGTTAACTTCCATTATAAAAGTATTCTGAATATCAAAAATTGATAATGAAACATCATGAAGCGCTTGAAACTATCCTCCATTTTAAGATATTCAAGAGTCTTTGTCATGAAGAGTTTTCTATGATGGATTGCAAGAGCATAAAAATATTTGGGTTTAAGGTTTGTGTACTTAAATAGTTATTTGAGAAGAAAAATATTTATTTATCTAACCCTTTTTTTTATATCAGAGACAAATGCAAGAAAAAACATAGAAAATATTTTTTTCCCAGCATATGATCTTCCCAAGATATCAAAGATTTGAAGATCCAACATATGATCTCATGGAAAATTTAATTTTTATTTTGATATTTTGTGTAAACAATGTAACCAGTCTAATATTCTGGGTAAACATTGTATTTTATAAACAAATTATTTTATTAATTTTCTGTGTAAGCAATGTAACCAGTTTAAATTTTAAAAAATATAAATAATTTATCCATCGATTTTATTGATAACCCGAGAAACATGAGACTCTATTATTGTAAATAATAAAAATGCAGTTGGTGGAGTTCAAACCCATGCACAATTACAATACCCCTAGATGTTTTAAACACTGAGCTGCTAAGTCCATACTTTATGATGATCTTATTTACATCGCTACTGTAACCGAGGTAAAACGCAATTTACGTCCGGCGTTACAAGGAATTTTTGTAGTAGTGGGCATTTTTTCTATGTCTTTTCGAGACATATACCAGCGATCTATTGCTTCCTCTTGCTTATCTAAAGAACGTTTACAAGGGTTTTAATCAGATGCTCCAGACACAGTGTTAGCTGGAAATTTTGACAGACTTGAAATATGAAGGAAAGCTAGTTTGGAAAGGAATATGGAAATATCTCATAGAGATTTTGACTGACCAGACTATGGATAACTTGATTATATAAAATGATGGCGAAAGTCTTATTGTTACCAAATACATGGGACTTAAGAAATTTCAAAGTTTCGAATTTGAATGTTCGGCAAGTCATGTTGTTGGTTTGGCACTTTGAATTGAAGGAGAATTTGAATTCAAATGGTTTGATCTTATTCAAACAGACACGTGGAAGCCTGAAGATTCGAATGACGTGCAAACATCAAACGTGACACTCTTGTAGAGACATACCATTTTGGCCAAATTAGTATAAATTATAACCTTTGTATTAGGATTTAGTGTGATAAGAGGTGCAATTAGATATTTTAATTAGTATTATAATGTTAGTTGTTACTTTATTTTGAATGTTTTATTGAATTGGGCTTTTAATAGCGTTTGGGCCATTAATTTTATTATCATTAGAAGTACTATATATTGTAGTCTCATTGAGACATTAGGTATCAAGAATCAAATGAATGAAAAAGTCTTTTATCTTATTTTAATTTATTTAGTCAATTTAATGTTCTTCATCTTTTAGTGTAGAACCCGTGCTTTCATCCCTGTACTCAAATCCTCCTATGGATTATCCTTATCATACACTTTTATATCATCCATGGAGAATTACTCTTACCTATCCTATAAACCAATTTTTACCACCCCTACCAGACCCTCATATCCATCTTTTCCATGAGAAATCTTTTCACCTTATTACACAAACCCATATGTTACAACTCCATCACCATGTTTGTATTTTAATCATGGATATACACCACCTCCACATAACTCATATTCATCTTATTCATCATCTCATTATTCATGCTACTACGATAATTATCATCAACCACTACCACTAACGAAAACATCCTCCACAGTTAAAAGAGATTTTGAGAAGCATTTGCAAGTGTCTCATCTCTCTTTTAAGAAAAGATCTAAAAAAAAAAAGTCTCAAAACCCTTTCCAATTCACAATCAAAGAAATACCTCCAGATCTATTTTCCTTTCCTCTACAAACCAAAACCCTTAAATCCTCTTTTTCATTTAAACTACGAGCAAATAAAATCAATGGAAATACTTCTCCCAAACCTTGACTACCTCTGCTCTTCAAACGACTATGGGGGATTTCCTCATCTTCCTCCATAATAACATTCTGAGCACAACTTCGTCAACCATCCCAATCACATCAATGAAACCACCATTTTAAAACCCTCTGATCGTTTAGAGTTTCCTCGGATCCCATATAGAAAACCGTAACCAAAGCTCACGGAGGAGCTATTCCGCTTTCAATCTTCGGCCAGGAAGAAGATGATGAACCTGGACTAGTTTCTGATTCCAATTCCAATGATTTTTTTCTCCAACGGTGGTGGCTGTGTTTTGAAAAAGGGATCTGACTCTAATGGTTCTGTTGATGCAACGAAGAAAGTTGATGTCGTTGAACGAAAATGAGAGATCAGTCATAACGATTCAGGATCTGATGTGAATAACATTCAGGTTACTGATACTATTGTGTAGGTTGGTAACGATAGTGGATTCAACAGTATTCAAAATGGTCAGATGAAAGATTTGGTGACTTATGGATTTATGTTGTACCCCAAAATTTTCCCTCCCATTTTTTAAGATAATTGGTTCAATACACCTCTGCATGCTCCTAGATTTATGAATTTCTCAAGATACTCAAGGGTTTGAACATACAAACATCTCTCTTAAGCAATGACCTACAATTAGGGTTTTGTGTTTCTCAAATAAAATTGAGTTTATAATGCCTCGAGCGAGTTTCATGGTTCCTCATATGCTTCAAGGTACCCTCATGACAAGTTTCAAGCCCTGCATCACAAGTGTGCTCAGTCAATTGCTCAGATGAGTGAAAATCAACTATATTGGACAAAAAGTCAATTGTGGTCAACATACAGTCAAAATTCAATATTTTTGGTCAACATCAAGATTTTAAGGTCACATTAATCATTTGATCATGGTTTTATCATGATTCATCAAGAAAACTCAAGATTCATCAAAAGTAAAAAATTGCTAAATTAGGGCTTTCTTTAGGAGAAGTCAACTGAATTTTGACCAAGCATAACTTTCACATGCTTCATGAGAAATTCCTCAACGAAATCCTATCTTGTAGGAAATTCAATTCTCTACAACTTTGTATCTCTAAGCTCAAGGCCAAAAATGCTTCATTTGAGAGATATAGGCCAAAACATTACATGTCATTTTAAAAGTCAACAAAAAGACATCTTTTGTCAAAGCAATTTACATCAACTTAAAGACTTCAAATAAAAAAGTGACCAACATGAAAGTTGTAGGGGACATATTGAGCTTTCCAAAAAGTCAAAGATCACTTTAATATGACAAAATTTGAGAGAGTCGTGATTGGTGCAAGTTGAGCAATTTTGAGAAAATGCATGAAACCAAAATTGAGTAATTTTGGACTTTTAGGCTAATGAGCCTAACTTTTGAAGTTCAAACGTGTTTATGACATGTTTAGAGACCCCTAAGTCCATTCATGCATTAATTTAATTTTTTATTTCATTTATTTTGATTTTATTCATTTAAATTCAAAATTAAGTTAAATAAATATTAAATAAATGTACAAGGCATGTGGGCTTTTGTTTTGGATCATTTTGAAGCCCAAGATCACATATCCAATATAAAAAAACCGTGAGGGATGAAGAAGGAAATAGATCTTCATGTTTTGGAAAGTTTTACAATTATTTTGGAAACAAATAATAACTTTGAATGCACATGTTTCTTCCAAGAATGTTAACTTAAAAAATCATCTATTATAAATAGAGGACACACTCCATAAGACAAGGATACAGATTGGCTGCCATAGAAATAAGTTCTCAAACACAAAATTTTCAAAGAATATGTGTACATCATATCCCAATTTTCCAGCCATTCTCAACTAAAACGAAGCCTCAAATCATTATCCTGACATCCCCAGGAATCTCCTCAAATCCATTACCACGCTCAACCGTGCCCAGAACGCCTCCCCTCAATCACACCGGTGGTAAGGATTTTCTAATTTCAAATTTATTAATATTGGTGTTATTAACAAGTTTCATATATCCAGATGTGTTGAACAAGAAACATAGAACAAGTTGGAATCAAGCGTGTGAAGAGAAGGGATGGGGTTCAAACCCCAGCGATGCCAAAACCCTTTTTGCTTTACTTTCTTCATTTTCCCTTTTTTTTTATTAGTTATTTTATTATTAATTAACTTTTTTAATCAAAACTTATACATAAAAAAATCAGAAAGAAGTCATATAATAAAATCAACAAAAAATTAGTTTTATGGTGTAAATTAATTAATTGATTTTTTGGACAATTAGATCTTAGGCTTTTTATTAATTAAAATCAATTAGAATTAGAATTTTAATTATTATTAATTAACACTTAAATTATTTTCATAAAAACACCAAAAATATGAACTTAGATTTTTAGGACATTTAAACTTTTTTTCCAACATTTTCTTATTCTTTTTGCTATTTATTTTCTTAGACAATTGTATAGGTCACACAATTTAATGTAATAGTTTAGATTTATATCCCCGTATTTTTCCAATTATGTAACTCTCCCAAAATTCCGTAATAGCGTGGATTTACATTCTCTCTTTATCTTTTGCTTTTATATGTTTGTATATATATAACTGCTAGTAAATAGGCTTGTATGATAAGAGTATAATCAAACATAGATAACCTTAATTTTCAAGATAACATAACTGAAGCCAATACATTTTGCACACTTCACCTCTAGGGTAACCTCTCTTCATTGCTTTATGATACTAATGGTCATGTCCCTCGAAAGTAAAGGTATTTTAGCAAAGACCCTCGATTAAATCATCATAGTCTCTTCGAATAAAGATCATGGTCCCGTGATGTCCCTCGAGTTTCCTACGAAAAATAATCTAGTCCCTTGTTGCCTACGAATAATATGATGACAATTCCTTCGAATTGCTAAAGTATCCTTACAAGTTGCTTTCTATGACCATACAACGACCCTACACTTGTCTCTTCACATCCAATAGATAGGGCTACCTACCAACTAATGGTATGAATAACACTATATCTAAAGGAGAAGGAAAATAACAAGAACGACCTTTAGTGAGTAAGACTCGATAAATTGCTTGCTCACAAACAAATCCTTTTTACACATCACACTTTTCAAACAAAACATTTTCAAACACTTTGTACGCATTTTTGAGGACTGATACAAGAATCATTACAAAATTGGCTGTACTTTGGCTTTTCAAAAATATTTTCAAATAAATCACACACATAAAGCAAATTTTTTTAAAGTGAGCTAGAAATTAAGAGCCCGTAGATAACTACTGATGAAAAGGGTGATAACACCTTCCCTTTTCATAACTTACCCCCCTAAACTCAAAATCTATCAAAGGTCTTTCCTGTTCTTTTCACTTTTCCTTGTTGGATAAAAGAAAATTCAGTGACGGCTCTTGCTATCTGCAGCATTTACGATAAAACGCTAAACAAGTCATTTCTCCCACCATATGACACTCTGCATATCATTTGAAATTTATAGTACTAAATATTAGTGATTTAGAGGAGAATGTGGTATTAAATATGAGAGATGATCCTGATTTCATTCAGAAGCACGACAATCCTTCTAAGAAAGAAGTAGAAAATAAAAGCAATAAATCTAAGAAAAGACAAGCAACATATCTGATCCTGGTCTTCCAACCACAACCGACAAGGTGGATTTTGGTCAACTTGAGGATGCTGAAGGAGTCCTTGATGATGATCCGAGTGAGCCAACAACGGGAGAGAAAATTGCTAGTCTCAATTTGGTTTATTAAATCAAATCCAAGAGTGACAATGAGTAATAACATTTGGTCTCATTGAAGCCTCCAAGTACAGACAGTATAGATGTTTTACTTAAGCAAGCATTAAATGTTGATGATTGTGCCCTTCTGTTGGATTGCTTGTATACACAAGATGAGAAGTTTATTTTTAAGTCAGTTGCGTAGTTGAATCCATCCAATATCCTCAAACTTCTTAATTCTCTTATAACCATTACTGAGTCTATGGGTGCAATTTTAGCGTGTGCTCTTCCATGGATGAAGTGTCTACTTCTACAACATGCAAGTAGAATAATGTCCCAAGAGTCTTCATTAAAAGTTTTGAACTCTTTGTTTCAACTGATTGAGTCTAGAGTCTCCTCTTTTAATTTTGTCTTCCAACTCTCAAGTTTATTAGATGTGCTTTATGTCAGGGTTCATTACAAGGAGGTAGATGAAGTTGAAACTGTGCCAATTATCTACATGGACACAAATGATAGTGAAGATGAAGATAAAACAAAGGAGATTGTAGAAGTTGCAAAAGCTTCAATGGGACAAGAACAATTTCAGATGGGTGGACTTGATTTTGTTAAGACAACCATTGCAAGAACAATTTCTGAACTTGTGCTCTTGATGCCCCAAAAGTTTCATGAAATGAATGCACAATACATAACGCGTGTGAAAGAGGGTATTTGAGAACTCATATTAAATTCAGATAACCATGGACAAATACTTGCTTTTCAAAAAGTTTTATTGAACAAGTGTGATAAATACTTGGATGTTCTAATGAAGTGTCACCGAGTGCAACTCGAAATTTTGGTTGCTTTAAAAACTGGTTTTACCCATTATCTTCACCTAGATAATAACATTTCATCTTCTCTTTAGCAAAAGTGTTTCTAAACTTGAAGTGTAGGAATGTTACATGTCGAAGTCAGTTGTCTGTCGATGAATATGATTGTAATGGCAACAACATTAGTGGTTGAACTTTATTTGTTATGATTGTTCCGTTTAAGCAATAGGATACGAGAGTAATTTTAAAATGTTGAAGACAAGGTTCAATATGAACCGGACAATAATGGTAAGAGGTGCAATTAGATATTTTAATTAGTAATATAATGTTAGTTGTTATTTTATTTTGAATATTTTGTTGAATTGGGTTTTTAGTAGTGTTTGGACTTTTAAGTTTATTTTCATTAGAAGTACTATATATTGTAGTCTCATTGAGAAATTAGGTATCAAGAATCAAATGAATGAAAAAGTCTTTCATCTTTCTTTATTTTATTTAATCAATTTAACGTTTTCCTCTTTTAGTGTAGAAACCCTAGTTCATAGCTTCGATAGGAAAATTTTCTATCATAGTGTTCACTTTTGTACAAATCACTCAAATAAATTCGAAATATCAAGTATTAGAGAAAAAAGTTACTGAAAATGTACGTATGAAACACCAGTTTTTCATTTAAAACTATTTATCTTTTGAATAAAGTCTTTTATGTTTTATTTAAGTTTAAATTGAAATACATTTACATTATGGTTTTTACTTTAAATTCTTTTTTCTATCTTTATCTTTAAGTTTTCGTTTTACTTTTACTTTCGTTAAATTCATCTTATCGATAAAGAGCAAATATCTAAATACTTTAAAAAATCAAAACTAGATATATATCTGAAGATCAATCTAATCGATCCTGTAAATAATTAAAAAATAGATTTATTTTGAAAAACTAGTGGCTATTTATCTAAACACAGGTGATACCATGTGTATAAGTTACACTGTTGATTGAATTAATTCTGTATCACTTGCTTAACATCAACTAGCAGAAAGATTCTAGAGGATATTTATAAAATAACAATGAACAGCATTGACCAAGAATTTAAAGTATTATACAGAGATGCTGAAACTGTATACTCGTGACAAAAATAAACATCATCGAAAAATATCATGATAAAGAATGTGAAACAACCATACAAAATTAGTAAAAGAAAGGCAAAGAGATTTGAACTGATGTTGAGTTGAGAGAGAATGTTTCCCCACATCATTACATATATGCACTCCCTCTTGAAAATGTATTACCATGAGTATTAATATGACTAAATTTCTGAATATTATTTCAAAAGTAATTAGGTTACAATCTCTGAACTGTTTAAATATTATTGGGAACTTTGTAAATAGTTTCTTATTATACACATGTATTTAAATGTAGGCTTGATAAATGATATAATGAGCAAGGGCATGCAACTCTTTAGGTTGTGCTACCATTATGGTTCATTATCAGTCTTGTTTTTTATATTTTATTTTCACAGGTTGAAATTACTTGTCAATGGTCATGTTTGTCTATTGGAATCAAGTATAAATGCATAACTAAATCATCTATTTAAATTTTGGGGATAGTCATGTTTGAAAGAGTTGGTGGTTGTTGAATAATCTATACATTTGATATCGTCTAAATCAAACTCATTTTGTACATATAATGGCCCTTTCAAATTGCACAACAGCTCATTTTTCTGTAATCATTTACTATTAGCTAAACCTTTGAATTGATTATATATATGATTCATCTCTTCTTTATTGTCAGGTTCATAATTTAGTTTTTTGTACTTAACTAAAACATGGATTCACATTGTTTCATGTATTGAAATGAAAGTGTGTGATTTTTTACCCTCTTAAGGATCACTATGGAAAATATCTCAAGAATGTGTGTAAAAATATTCGGGAAAGAAACTGAAAAATAATATTTAGAGGAAACATGTGAGAAAATAATATTTATATACAAGAAACAAATGAGAAAGTAATATTTATATACGAAAAATATACATTAATTTAAATATTTTTATATTTTGGAAAATTTATATTTATGATCCAAATATAAATAAAAAAATTTATTAAGTAATTTTATTTTATTTTCTTTTCATTATTATATATGCACATACCACGTATTAGTAACCGAATATCCCACTAATTTAAAATAAAATCACGATGTAAAAACTTCAAATCAGACAAGTGTCTATTTATTAGTTATTTTTAAGTTTAATTTTTTGTTACATTTTTTTTAGGTTTAGTTTTCTTACAATAAAAATAACTTTAATAATAATAATAATATTAATAATAATAATAATAATAATAATAATAATAATAATAATAATAATTATTATTATTATTATTATTAAATAATAGATATTTAATTGTTAATGGACAACGTGGGCATGTTTAGTGGGAAGAATGAGTAACCTCCATAACCGCACAAGTCTAAGAACATGGAATAGTGTGAAGCAAAGATTTAGGAGCAAGAAAACAACATTAAATAAAAGCCAAGCATTTGAAACATAGTAGAAAACAAAAATATCATAGTCTCAATTAAAGTAGTTGTGTGTGTCGTGTTATTATTATAGATATAAAAAATGCATGGGAAAAAAGAGCAAGAACATGTGAAGAAAGGTCCATGGAAAACAGAAGAAGATGATGTTTTACTTCATCATGTTAAGACATATGGTCCAAGAGATTGGAGCTCCATTCGATCCAAAGGTCTTCTTCAAAGAACTGGCAAGTCTTGTCGTCTTCGTTGGGTTAATAAGCTTCGACCAAACCTCAAAAAGTAAGTTACCATTTCACTTTACTTTCACTTCTTCTTCTCATTATAGTGTTTGTTACTTGCAATATATGAAACTTGAATACATATACTTCTCGACATATGTTGGACACTCAATACATTTTCAGTCTGAAATGTTTGTCTTTCATGGTCTTTTGCAATATCATTTTGCATTGGTGTTTTCTTATGAAGATTTGTAATCATGGGTTTGCTTTATTTTGTTCCAAGTCTTGAAATTTTTATGTTTAAAAGCTTAAATGTGAGATTTCTTTGATGGGTTTTGTCTTATTTTTGTAAAGTTTTTACTACAAATAAGTAGGGAAGGTTTTCTTCTCGAGTAATGTAATGTCTATGATTTTAATAGAGTGTAGGAGTGTCTCTGAGTATCTAATTATGACTTGTATAATACATTCTAACATTTTTTATTGAAGAGGTGTTAAGTGTCTTAGACACCATAAATACATGATTATATTCAATTATTTTATTTTCACTCATTAATATTAATGTCAATATGTCTTTTTAATATTTTTGTCCGTGTAGTGTCTTGTCATTCTTTGTTTGTATATTTGATTCAGCAATTCTCTTTTAAAGATGAAGTTAATTGGTGAATAGTGTCCAAATTCGGTATTAGATACATTCAATTATTTTATTTTTCTTCACATTAGTTAATTTTGCTTCTAGTGGATACATGTATGATTGCCTAAGTTTAGGCTTAAAATAATTATTTGATGTGTTTTTTCTAATTTGATTTTTGTGTTTGGGGCGTTTCTCTATGTGAAAGTGGATGCAAGTTTGCAATAGAAGAAGAGAGGATTGTGATAGAGTTGCAGGAACAATTTGGGAACAAATGGGCTAAGATTGCATCCTACTTGCCCGGAAGAACAGACAATGATGTCAAAAATTTCTGGAGCAGTAGACAGAAGAGGTTGGCTAGGCTTCTCAAAACATCATCATCAACATCAACCTCAAAGTCACACAAAAACAAAGCCAAAGTTTCTTCCCATGTTCCAACTTTAGAGGTAATTAACCAACACAAACGTTCCTATTTTTCTTGTCTTTTCTTCTAATTCAGATTCTCTAAAGTCTTAGGGTTTTCTGCCTTCACCCGGTAAACCGCATTATGATTTGGCTGACTGAGTGATTGCGAATCTGCGACCAATATTCTCATTCGGCCATTTAAGGATTCTGTTTTTTCTTGCAGGTTCCTTGTAAGTTCAGTTCTTCATCAGAGGGAGAAACATCATCAAAGCCTAACTCGTGTTCATTACCCTGCATTGAAAAATCTGCTGAGGTTATCAAAATGGTGCCACTACAAGATCTTATAACATCCGAAAAGTCGAGTATCAACGCAAACTATGTCGAACAAGACTTAACCCATTTTGATCAGAGCTACAAAAGTACTAAACACATTGCATTTCCTCAGATTCCAGAACTCCAAACTGATCTTACTTTTCCAATGGAAAGAGTTGATGAACAGAATATATTTGATGTTTTCGATCCTTTGTATTCATCTGAGTTTGGAATGGTTCCTTTCTTCGAGTCATCAGGGGGTTGCAGAATCGGGAATATGGATACAAATGACGATTTCTCTACAAACATTGATAGTTTTTTTGATGATTTTCCTGAAGACATGTTTGATCACATTGATCCTCCTGCAAATCCATCTAATCTCTGAATTTTGTTGCCATTGTTATTTGTTTTGTTTGTAACACTTAAAATTTGGTTAGTCATTGTAGTATGGGATTTATTGTTGAAGCTTAAAATAGACATTGCAAATGCAAATGTAGTGCTGGTTATTTCTTGTGATCTTGGTAAAATATATTTATGCTATGTTATGTTTTAACCCGCAACAAGTTTCGATTTTATTCTGCATCTATTCCTCTCCAACAACAAAAACAACTTACTTAAAGCTCAAATAAGATTATCTCACTTTGGTTCAGACACATAATTCATTATTGTACAAACAAGCTTCCCAATAAAATAGCAACATAAATTCCAACAATTTCGATTTCTTCCTCTCCCACGTTTACTATTCAATCTAGGAAAATGCCATAAGAGTGAAGAAGAATATGCAGCTAAAATTCACCTACTTAATCAAGCACGCACAACAGAAAAGTCAGTTGGACATTGGAGAACTCCAATGTATAAATGAGCAGAGAGAGAAGTGAGAATCTGGCGCGTGGAAGGCCAACAGTTCAACCGATGTAACTTTAGATGGAATATTTTACGCCAGTTTGTCCGGTATTAGTAATCACTTCAAATTGTCCTGCAGTAAATGACTTGTCTTTCTTGAAAATCGGGCGTCTGAGTTCGACATATCCACAATAGTCAACTTCATATACTTCAGCACCCTTTCTGAATGAAGATAGAGCCACACCAACTCCTTCCCCTGCAAAGGGTGCAATTCAGTTAGAGTTCAACTTACAAAAAGGAGACTAATTCTCATTTCAATCTTTAATTAACCAGTGAATTCGAGTTCTTTTATACTTTGCAGCTACGTTGTCCATTGCAAAAAATACAGGTTAGTTCGAATTTTGCTAACCAACAGTGCTATAACATCGCCCTTTCACAGTATTTTGTACTAAAAATAACATATCGTGTTATAGAACAGATCTATCTTATAACGGACAAGAAAATGAATATGAATATATGATACATACCATGTGTGACAAGAAGCAAGTTTTCAGTAAGATGTTTATCAGCAAGATCTTTAACTATTCGTTCATATCTAGCCTTCGTGTGGGCAACCGGTTCCTCATACTTAGGCAACTAAAGTGAAAAATTCCTCAAAACAAAAAGTAACTATCATAAATATAATTTGTCAAGTGCCAAAAACATTTTTGCCATTAAAAATGAACAAGAATCCATTATAGTTTATACCTCTTTATAGACCCTTTCTACATTTTTATCGATCGTCCCTGCAGGAAGCATGGCCTCGCGCTCTGATATGTCGAAGCCCCAGTTTCCATCTTTAGGAGCCACGTCAAGCCTAATTGCCATTCTGCTCATCATTTCGCATAACCCATATTCAACAGAGACCTACAGTTGTGGACGCAAGTCAGAGAATTTTAGCAACAATTTAAACGCAAAATCAATTTTGATTCAATGTAATGAAACATCTAAAGTTTTGAATATACTCAAATCAACTCTGATATTTTTTTGCTAAATAATTACAGCCAGGTTAAAGTATTTCAATATGCTTGGGTCTCAATTCAAAAAGCTAGCTCAAAGGGTGAAGTTGTTCTCATATATTTATACACCACTCCAACTAGACAAATACCAACTTCAACAACAAAAACTCTATTTACTAAAAATCTTAACATCAATTATTTTGTAACAATATATTTCAAACACCTCCCAATTAAAATATAAGCTCCAAAGGCGGAATGACGGCAATCTCAACACCCGCAACCGTAATTTAAAACCATAAAAAAAACTTATCATATATAAGTGATTTGTTCATTAAAAAATAATTTAAATAAAATCAATATAACTAGATGATGAATGAAACCAATCTGATCGACCTTAATTTTAGAAGGATCAAATCTAACGGACTCTCCGGTGAGTGCTTCGGGGCTATCATCAACGGCGGAGAGAGCGATGACGGCTTCGGCGGCGGTCTGAACACAGCGGAGGAACGGCGAGACATACACACGATGAAGCTGATATTTGAAAAGATTGCGAAACTTCCGACCCGTACAGAAGGACCGAACCCGACCCTCTTCAACGAGAGGTGGGTCCCACGGTCGTTGCGCGGTGGATATCCATAACGGATCGAAGTTGTCGATGCGATCGCCGTGTCTCATTACGACGACGTTTTGGTAATATTCTGGAGTTTGGTTTTTCGACGATGAATCCATTTTTTCTTCTTTGTTTTTCAGAATGAGAGAAAGAGAAGAATGGGATTTCTTTTTATGAAGAGAAAAATATTTAAACTTTAGTTTCGTTCTGTCATCAATCATGATACAACACGTGTTTTTTATTTTGTTTTGAAAACAAGTAAAGTTTGATAAAATATTTATTTATAGAAAATAAAATTTAACAACTCTTTTGTTTGTTGTTGGGTTTGGCCTCTTAACTATTTGTATGACATGTAAATTATATATTTTTTTTTAAATGATTTTTTTAATATGATTGTATGTATTAAATCTCTTTATACATTTATATGCAGATTTAATCTAGATTATTTATAAGAAGAGCGATTTTTTTTTATTTATAAAAAAAGCTAGAATAAAATATATATAATTTGAGTTTGATTTTTGGTGGAAATAAGATTTGACTAATAATTCGTTTATTTGAACTAAGAAATTAGATTAGTCTGTTTATTATGTGGGTCGAAATTGATTGATTAAACAAAAAATAAAATTGACCATTCCAACACAAAATATATCGAAAATGGTAATAAAGAATTCAAATTTACAATTCAAAATTTTGAAAAAAATCAGCAAAAAATGGTCTACATAATCATTGATAAGCAAGATAAATGATTTAACCTCTATGATTGATAATCATAATCGAAAGAAACATATTTTGACTTTTAACAACCAAAATGACTATTACTTTATTCATTCAGAGAATGCCTGTAATTTGTAAATTTTAAAGGAAAGAAGGGAGTCGTGACTTTAAAGCTCGACATGTCCAAGGCATGTGATCGTTTAGAGTGGGAATTTGTAACTGCCACATTAAGGACCATGGGCTTTCCCGAGCCTCTGGTCAGCCTCATTAATAGGTGTATTTCTACAGTGTCGTATCAAGTTCTTATTAATGGTCAGGCCAGCAAAAACTTCATTCCAGAGAGGGGCCTCCGACAAAGAAATCCCTTATCCCCCTATCTTTTTATATTGTGTGCTGACATTTTTTTAGGTTTGATTAAGCAGTAGGTTAAGAAGAGGAAGCTGCGTGGCATTCAGGTGGCTAGAAAAGCACCTGTCATTTCACATCTCTTTTTTACAGACGTCAGTTTCCTCTTTGCTAGAGCAAATTCCGTTGAAGTAACTTGCGTGTTGGATATCCTTCAGAAGTGCCAAATGTCTTTGGGCCAGGTGGTAAACCTAGATAAATCTAAGGCTTCATTTAGTCGAAACGTGCAAGATGATGTTAAAGTGTCAATCCGTAACGGGATGAGAGTTAAGACTTTCACAAGCCACATGAAATATTTGGGACTGACTGTTGTTTTTGGGAGGTCAAAGAAAGAGATATGTGCGTTGCTCATTGAGATGGTGTGGAAGAAGATCAATGGGTGGAAGGAAAAATTTCTATCGAGGGCGGGAAATGAGGTGCTTATAAAAGCGATGGCTCATGCAATACCTATCTATATCATGAGAAGGTGTTCAAGGGCAGGTATTATCCTAACAGTCCTCTAAGTGATGCTACACTTGGCTACAACCCAAGAGTCACATGGAGAAGCATACTTGATGCAAAGGACGTGGTTTCAAAAGGAATGAGGCGGAGAATAGGAAATGAAGAGAATGTGCGGATGTGGTCTGATAGTTAGTTACCACATAATTCTGGTTTCAAGTCTGTTAACTTTATTCCAAATTTCGATCTTGATGCTAGAGTGAAGGAACTTATAGATGAGGACTTGGGTGTGTGGATCGTGGAGAAAGTCCATACCTTATTCTGTCCCATGGAAGCAAAACAAATCCTGAGTATTCCCTTGTCTTTGAGGCACCCTGAAGACAAGAGGATATGGCATTATGAGAAAAATGATGAGTACCAGTGCACTTTGCGTATCACCTCCTGCAGTACACCAAAGAAGCTAAAAGATCAGACCCTTCATCCATTCCTTTTAAGAAATTATGGAAGTTCATATGGAATTTCCCAGTAATGCCCAGAATCTGGAACTTTTGTGGCATCTCGTAAAGAACATTCTCCCTACAAAGGTCAATCTCCAATCTAAAGGTATTGTCCTTGATATCTTATGCCCATTTTGTAACTCTGCTCCTGAAATAGTAGAGCATCTCTTTATGAGGTCCAAATTCGCAAAACAATATGTTTTTCTTCCCTGATGCGGTTATCGTATTCTTAATGGGATGGATATTAATGACTGGCTGTTGAGTATATTGGAAGACAATGTTGTTCTAAATTCACAGGTTTTGTGCACGACGCTGTGGAAAATTTAGAACGTAGGGAATGCCGTATGTTTCAATCAAAAGAAGGTGGAAACCTAGAAGGTGGCAAAAGCGGCTATGCAGTGTGTCTTAGAGCTCAAAAGTGATGACCATAAGCGGGCAGATGTGAAGAATCAGAGAGATCCCTTTAGGTAATTTCCTTATGCTAATGGAGTCTATGTCATGCAGGTGGATGCTAGAGTATTTTGTGATGGTTCAGTTTCGTATGGGTGTGTCGTGAAAGATCACTCGCGGAAAGTTGTGATGGTTGCCACAAGAAAGGAGTAAATTGAAATGAAACCCATGTGCTGCTGAATTGTTGGCTATCAGATGGGTTTGTAGATTACAATGGACCTGAAATTAGATAGTATCTGTCATACGGTGGGAGAACTGACTTGAAGGTTTTGCGTTTGATTGCAAATGTTGTGGTTAGCAAGAGTCGCCACCGACTTTTCTTTTATCCAAAAGGAAAGGTGAAAAAGCACAGGAAAGACCTTTGAGATTATTTCTTGAGTTCGGGAGGTATATTATGAAAAGGGAATGTATTATCACCCTTTTCATCCATGTTTTTCCATGGGCTCTTAGTTACTTGCTAGATCACTTTCTTTTTTGTTTGAAATTATGCTTTGTGTGGTTTTTGAAAGTATTTTGTAAAGAGGCAATTGTTTAGGCAATCTTTGTAATGATTCTTTGTTTGCAAGAATGTAAAAGTTTATATCGAGCAACCACTAGGCTATGAAGTAAAAGGGAAAGAAGAAAAAAGTCTTGAAGTTGAAGAAGGCATTATACGGTCTCAAGCAAGCACCGAGAGCTTAGAATGTTCGAATCGACAAGTACTTTCAAGACAAGAACTTCATCAAGTGCCCATATGAGCATGCACTCTATATCAAAGCGCAAAGTGGAGATATTTTAATTGTGTGCTTGTATGTAGATGACTTGATTTTCACAGGGAACAATCCAAGCATGTTCGAAGAGTTCAAGAAAGACATGTCAAATGAATTTGAGATAATAGATATGGGGTTCATGGCATATTATCTTGGCATCGAAGTAAAGCAAGAAGATAAAGGAATTTCCATCACCCAAGAAGGTTATGCCAAAGAAGTCATTAAGAAGTTCAAGATGAATGATGCCAATCCAGTTGGCACCCCGATGGAATGTGGTAGCAAGTTAAGCAAGCATGAAAACAGGGAGAATATGGATCTAACTCTTTACAAAAGTTTGGTTGGAAGTCTACGTTACTTAACAAGTACAAGGCCAGATATTCTCTATGTTGTAGGAGTTGTAAGCCGATACATGGAAGCTCCAACAACAACTCACTTCAAGGAGACAAAGATAATCCTTAGATACATTAAAGGTACAACTAACTTTGGCTTGCACTATTACTCTTCTAATAATTATGAGATTGTAGGCTATAGTGATAACGATTGGAGTGGATACTTGGATGATAGGAAGAGCAATACTGGTTATGTGTTCTTTATGGGAGATACTGCTTTCACTTGGATGTCAAAGAAGCAACCAATAGTCACACTATCAACTTGTGAAGCCGAGTATGTCGCCGCCACATCATGCGTTTGCCATGCAATTTGGCTAAGAAACTTGTTGAAAGAGTTTAAAATGCCACAAGAAGATCCAATGGAAATATGTGTTGATAATAAATTAACAATTGCTTTGGCAAAGAATCCAGTCTTTCATGAAAAAAGTAAGCACATCGACACCCGTTACCACTTCATAAGAGAATGCATTGAGAAAAAAGAGGTGAAGTTGAAGTATGTAATGTCTCAAGATCAAGCTGCCGACATTTTCACCAAGCCACTAAAGTTGGAATTTCGTGAAGTTAAGGAGTATGCTTGGAGTCACAAATCAAGTTTAAGGGGGGATGTTGAAAATATTAAACTTGATTTGGGCCTAAATTTATTAATTGATTTTTAGGCTTAGTTATTTTGGGCTTAAGTAGTTTTCTAGAGAATTCTCGTAATATTTGGAATCTCTAGATATTTCTTATAATTGTAATATTTTCTAGAATAGTCGTTGGATCTCTAGAGTTGAAAACGCTCTAGAATTAGTGTGTCCACAGTTCTCTTTAGAGTACTATAAATAGAGATGTAATCCCACACATTTGTATCAAGCAAAAATACAAAGTTTTTCTCCTCCGTAAAAAATTATCCTACTTATCAAATTTATATTCAAACCTTCAATATTCCCACACACTTCTCCTTAATATAAAATGTCTTATTTCCAACACACAAGAACAAAAACGCTTGCCTAAAAAAACACAACATAACTCATAATTATGATCATTTTTGTTACACTATCACAAACCTTCCGTTCCTATTTTAATATAGGTTTTAAACCAAGATATATGTTTCAATTCTATTTATATTGAAAAACTCCTCAATTTTTTAAATGAAGTTAAATATGAATATCAATTCTATTAATGAATTTAATTCAAAGAAGTTTCAAACCAAAAGAGAGTTATCATAAATAACTCTTCAATATTAATTCCTATAAATCATCAATATTTTCATAACAAAGTGAACATTAACTCATAAAAAATGGAGAACAAAACTCACATAGCCATTGTTACAGTTCCTGTATACAGCCACCTACGTTCAATTCTTGAATTCACCAAAAAATTGGTTCATCAAAACCAAAACATTCATGTCACATGCATAAACCCTACATTTGGTTCTTCTCCATGCAACAATGTCAATTCTCTCTTTGAAACTCTACCATCAAACATAAGCTATATTTTCCTCCCACCAATAAATTTACAAGACTTACCAAAAGATATTCACCCTGCACTCAAAGTTCAAGCCACAATATTCAGTTCCGTTCCCTCGATTCAAGATGTGTTGAACACATTACATTCTAGTTCAAAACTTGCTGCCGTTGTTGCCGACGGTTTAATAACCCAAGTGTTGCCATTAGCCAAGAAACTCAATATTTTAGCATATTCATATTTTCCATCCACAACCATGTTACTATCACTTTGTTTGCATTCTACATATCTAGACAAAACAATTTCTTCCGAGTACAAAGACCTATTAGATAAAATAGAGATTCCCGGTTGTATACCGATCAATGCTACCGATCTCCCGGATCCTATGCAAGATCGATCGAGCGAGGCGTATAAGGTTTTTCTTGAAGGTAATGATATATTCTATTTAGCTGATGGTATAATGGTTAATAGCTTTCTTGCGCTAGAAGAAAACACCATAAGAACCTTGCAACAAAAAGAGTGTGAAGGAGTTCCTTCCATTTACCCAATTGGACCTTTTGTACAAAATGATTCATGTAATAAAAAAAGGGATTTTGAATATTTGAAATTTTTGGACAAACAAGAAAAAAAGTCTACTTTGTATGTTTCATTTGGAAGTGGTGGAACACTTTCTAATGAACAAATAATTGAGCTTGCATTAGGATTGGAATTAAGTGGTCAAAATTTTCTATGGGTTTTAAGGCCACCGAATGAATTTGGTGTTATTGATGATCTTGATATAGGTGAATATGATGATGTTAATGATGTTCTTCTTAAGTTCTTACCTAATGGTTTTTTGGAAAGAACAAAAGAGAAAGGTTTAGTAGTTCCATATTGGGCTCCACAAGTTGAGATTCTAGGTCATAGTTCAATTGGTGGATTTTTATGTCATTGTGGTTGGAATTCAACACTTGAAAGTATTGTACATGGAATTCCATTAATTGCATGGCCACTTTTTGCTGAACAAAAGATGAATGCAGCTTTGTTAAGTGATGGTTTAAGGGTTGCCATTAGGCCTAAAGTAAATGAGAAAGGTATAATTGAAAGGAAGGAGATATGTGAGGTTGTAAAGAATTTGATGGTTGGTGAAGAAGGAAAAGGAATTAGAGAAAGAATGGAGAAGTTGAAAGGTGATGCTATTGATGCTTTGAAGGAAAATGGATCTTCAACAAAGACTCTTATACAATTGACATTAAAATGGAAAAGTTTAGGACTCAATATTTAAATCCCCTAATTGTCAGATTGCATAAAAGATTATCTTCAATTGCGATGGTGACAGTTCATATAGTTTTTTAAATATTTTTTTTATATATATTTTGTTAATATTTTTAAATCGACGTTTGATTTTTTTTTTATTTTACATTTTTTTCATTTATTTATTTATTTTAAATTTATAAGTAATTAAATAAAAATAAATATTAAATATAATAGCCCATTTAATACTCAAAGCTCAATAACTTCATTGACAACCCACACTTGTTTTTTGAAATGGATGGTGAGAAAAGGCTTTATAAACTCTTCAATTTTGTAATGTATTTTCGATGTAGGACTTAAAAAACATATGATAAAGTTTTGGAAATCAAGATCCACAGAATTTAATCGAAGCAGTCTCCATACTTTACCATACGACTGAAAATTATTCAACCATCCATAACCACATCGTAATCAAGTGAGGTACAATGATGAGCATATTTCGAAGTAAGTCCAAACGAAGTTGCATACTTTCACAATATTCATTGTCTTCTCATCGAAGGAGGACCACTTTATTTTTTCTAAGACGTTTAATACCATGTAGAATGAGCATATTCCATCATTCGAATAACAAAACTTCAAAAAAAACTTGCTAGTGTTGAATAATACATCATAGGATCTGTCTTGTAAATTCAATTACAGTGATGGCCAGAGGGATATCTTTTTACAAGAACTAAAAAAATACCTTATAGGTCGAAAGTTATTCATGTTGTATAAATAGCCAAATAACAACCACTACAAGAAATACACTCTCCAGCGACGTGATTTAATGACATGATTATCATGTCACTAAAATTTAGTAGTTGCGACGTGATAGTCACGTCACTACAATATTTTATAAATTAAATAATAAAACTAAAGCATAGTCTGCACCGGCTGTTTTTTTTTATATATAAAAGTTGCAGCGTGGGAAACACGTCACAACATAAAAAGTTGAATAAATAAAATATTAAAGCTGCAAGCGTTTTGAAGAGGGAGGTTTAAATATTTCAAAAAAATATGTTGTGACTTGTTAAACACGTCGTAACTAATTTAGGGAGAACTTTGACAAGATCCCACTTTAAACCATTCTGAAATGTGCAGATTAAATGTAAAATTTTAACAGTTGGTGAAGTTGCGACGTGGATATCACGTGGTAAGGTTGCGATGTGATATTCACGTCGCTGATTGGTTTATTTTAAAATTATAACGTTGGAGTTGCAACGTGAATATCACGTGGCAAGGCTGCGACGTGATATTCACGTCGCTGATTGGCTATTATACTTCCACACTCAGTTTACAGAAACCATTGTGTTTCTTCTCTTCCTCTTTCTTTTCTTCTTTCTCTCTTCAGTTTTCTTCTTTCCCTCATCTCTATTCTTCCATTCTTCCATATTCAAATCTCAATTCCATCATCAATTCCAAATTTATTTTGTAACAAAGGTATAATATTTATTTAATTTATTTTTAATATTTTCGTTTTAGGTTAATTATGTTTTATGATTGACTGGATTTTTTTTTGTGTTTAGAAATTGAAGAGATTAAAAGAAAGATTCAACAAAAGGATTGTATAAAAAGTTGAAGGAGTTTGAAGAATTGGTATTTATGTTATTTATTTATATTTTGAATTTATTATATATATATATATATATATATATATATATATATATATATATATATATATATATATATATATATATATATATATATATATATATATATATATATATATATATATATATATATATATATATATATATATATATATATATATATATATATATATATATATATATATATATATATATATATATATATATATATATATATATATATATATATATATATTGGATTGTTAGTTTTTATTTGAATATTTTTTAAATTTGATATATCATTCTGTATATATAGTGTAATAAGAAAAAATTGAATATATTTATTTAAAACAAAAATATACTGTTTTTTATTAGAATATAATGTATAATATAGATGTCCTTATCTTTCCAGCAGACTGGAGGATCTAGTACCCCACGTCTCACACATATACCTTTATCCTTTCCGCAGACTGGAGGATCCAGCACCCGACATCCCATACAGACTGGAGGATCCCGCACCCCACATCCCACATACCTCCACGTGAGGATGATCATGCGCAGCCGAATGATGATGATCTTGTGGATGGAGATGATGATGTGTTGGATGAAAATGACCTTCGAGAGAATGATGATCCGAGTGAGATTCATGTCATTGACGGAAGATTTTTGATTTGACCCGAAGGAAACTCGTAAGTTTCTTATTTATAAATTTTTATTTAAGATAATACATTTTCATTTTTAATATAAATTTATATTTAATATAACTAATTCAAATTATTGTTGTTTAGTTTCTCGCCGAGTCGGACTGCTGCTAAGATTATAAATTATATAATTCAGCGGATGTATAAACAATTTTGGAAGACTTTCAAAGATGTCAAAAATAAAGAAGCTTAGTTTAACAAATTTAAGGAATTAATTTATTTTTTAGTTATTTTTATTTAAATGACTATTTCATTATAATTATCTAACTATTTATTTTAATGTCATACAATATTACAGGAAAAATGTGTGTCGGACCCAATAAACGAGAAGATGATAAAAAAATTATTATGGCAGAACCTCAAGACGACTTTCTGACACAATGCGTCGTGTTAGAGAGCGTTGGGAACTTCAGGGTATCCGTCCCAATTGAATATGGAAAGAGGTTTTTGAGGAACTTCTTAAATATTGAGAGTCACCCGAATTTCGGGCTAAATCTGAAAATTTTAAGAAGATGAGGGCATCTGAAAAATGGGGCTACGTTAATGCAGTTGGAAGTATAAGTACCGCAGAGCATGTTTGACGCATGGTAAATATTACCACTTTTTAAAGTTATATTTTGATTTATATTTTATTAATTAATGTTAATTTTTTTATATTATTTAGACCAACAATTTGGGGAGACCTATTGATGATTGAGTTGGTTAAAAAGACTCGGACAAAGAAAATCAGGAATTTTATTGACGAACGCACTCTAAAAGCTTCCGTAAGTTATTTAATTTACGTTGTTGTTTATATTTTTTTTATTTAATAGAACTTTTGTGTCGTGATTTTCACGTGGCAACTTAGAAACTGTGACGTGAAAATCACGTGGCAACTTTTTAAATATAATATAATATAATTTAATTTATTGAATATTTAACTTTATTTTTTTATTTTTTATTGAATATATATGAGGATCATCAGACATTGCTCGCAAATTTTATGAGTCATAATCCTCAATATACTCCGGGAGAGGGAGAGCTGCTTCATCCAGATGTGGACTTTCATATTTGGGATCAAGTCATTGGCGAAAAAGGCCCTAACGATTGTTTTTTTGGTGGTGGAAATTTGGCGGACACCTTGAGAAGTGGAGATAGAACTCTACTTCAAAGAGTTAGAGATGGGGAAGGGGGGTCACGTCAACCAAATTTGACACTAGAACAATTTGAAACCGTAAGACAATTGGCGCTAAATGAGGCGAGACGCGAGTCAGCGCAACGTGAGGCGACAATGAAAGCCCAAATGGAGGCCCAAATGGAGGCAATTAGGCAAGAGCAACAACGACAAGTGGAGGCCATGGCGAAGAGGCAAGTTGATATGGAGCAACAAATGAGATAATTTATGCAAGGCAAGCTGAAGTCATGATAATTTATTCAAGCTTATTGTTCTATCTCCACTTCCAGTGTAGAGAAGTGATTGAGGAGAGATACCAATGATTCTTCGTCAAGGGTTATTGCCTAAGAGATGCATAAATCTCACACAAAATATGCCCCCATCACCGTCACCACTTATGCACAATAATTCTTTGTCATCGACATAAACTAGAAAATAATCTTCGTCGACAACGATCATTATGTTGGTGCACAAGGAGAGATGAAAGACAAAAGGAATATATTAAATGACGGCTACAGAATAAGGAGTAATGAATACATTGACCTATCTACTACTAGGCTATTTATATATAATATTAGAGTATAATAAAATAATAAAATATCCTCTAACACATTTAGTCAACAATACATTCTTAAAATATAAATTATTTCTAACACCATCCCTTAATTTATATTTACACAAAACTGACAAAACCAATTTCATCCCTCAAACGGATAAAGTGTTCAATCTTGACATCCTTCATCAGAATATCTGCAAGTTGCTTCTGGTTGCTACAATGTGCAACTTCTAATACTTCATTTAGAAGTGTAGATTTCTCCTTGAGAACCCACCTGACACTGATGTTTTTCTTCTTCTTCGAAAGCTTAGTTAACTCTCAAGTCTTGTTTCTTTCAATAGCATCAAGCTCTTATTTCATGGTCTTCAACCACACTTTCTTCTTGAGAGCTTCATATGTTGACAATGCAACCACCAGTTACTTCTTGGAGCACCAAGAAATAGGACTTTCCAGATATAAATAAAAATATTCAGAAGTATTTCTTCTGTCAACTCTGTCTTCATACCAATCAGAGTCTGAATAGCATATCAGCTATGCATCTGATTTAACACCAGAAGAGAATAACACTCCATACCTCAGAGTCCCTTCAGTATCTTGCAGCTTGTCAAACTTTGCAAAGCTCATTGGCATATTTCTGACTCTATGTGGCCTCTGAACTTGTTCAGAATCTTCTTCTGATTCTGGAATAATATCTCCTTCTGAACTTTCTTCAGAAGTTTGACTACTACTAGAAGCTCCACCTTTGTTAGCTTTCGGACCTCGTCCACAACCATTACCTTGAGAAATACCATCTTCAAAAGTTGGATCACCTTCACAAGCTTTGCCTTAAGAAGTTCCACTTTCAGAATCATGATCATCGTCAAAGGCTGAATTACCTTTAGAAGCTCCTCCGTCAGAATGTCCACCTTCAGAGTCATGATTACCACCAAAAACATGATCATCTCCAGAAGCTTGTCCTCCAGAACCCACGTCTTCTGATTTTCCCTTCTAGAA